TGAGGAAGAGGAAGATGTCCCAGGACCCCCAGGCAGGTGAGGAGGATGTCTCCCACTCCTTTCCCCTCWCTCCTGCTCCATCTCCCAGCCCAGCACTGTTCCCGGCTGCAGGACAACCCCACTGCCGACGCCGTTCTGCCGGTGATGAACTGGGGGGATTTCCATCCCCTTCCCTCTGGCACGGAGGCAAATCCCATCCTCTCCTTGTCCTTCCCCCCCCAGGGAATGAGCTGAGGATGGAGACCACGGAGGACAAATCCCCCCAGCAGAACCTCATGGAAGAGGATGTTTTGAGCGGCTCCAGGGCACAGGAATCCAATGGGGAGGAAAAGCCACGGAGATCTTGTGCAAGGAGGGGCTCCAAACCCAGCCCAGGGTGCTCTGACGGGGAAAGACCTACCCAGTACCAGGAAGGCACCCAGAGCTTCAACCGGGGCTTGGAGCTGGGGGTTCCTGAGCAGCTTCACACTAGGGAGAAGCCCTACAAATGTTTGGAGTGTGGGAAGAGCTTCAGCACGAGCACCCGCCTGCTCCGTCACCGGCTGATCCACACTGGGGAATGGTCCTACGAGTGTCGGGAATGTGGGAAGGGCTTCAGCTGCAGCTCTGAAATGATCCGCCACCAGCGCATCCACACAGGGGAGAGGCCCTACGAGTGTAGGGAATGTGGGAAGACCTTCTTTGTGAGCTCCCAACTTATTTCCCACCAGCAGATCCACACTGGGGAGAGGCCCTATGAGTGTGGGGAATGTGGGAAGACCTTCAGTAAGAGCTCCAACCTCATTTCCCACCAGCGCATCCACACCGGGGAGAGGCCCTACGAGTGTGGGGAATGTGGGAAGACCTTCAGTAAGAGCTCCAACCTCGTTTCCCACCAGCGGATCCACACTGGGGAGAGGCCCTATGAGTGTTCTGAGTGTCGGAAGAGGTTTAAGAGCAGCTCAAATCTCCTCGAGCACCAGCGGATTCACACGGATGAGAGACCCTTCTGCTGCCCCGACTGCGGGAGAGGCTTCAAGCACAACTCTGTCCTTGTCATCCACCAGCGCAGCCACACTGGAGAAAGGCCCCACAGGTGCTTTGAATGTGGGATGAGCTTCATCTTGAGCTCCCACTTGATCCGCCACCAGCGGATCCACACCGGGGAGAGGCCCTATGAGTGTTCTGAGTGTGGGAAGAGGTTTCCGAGCAGCTCCAATCTCCTCGAGCACCAGCGGATTCACACAGATGAGAGGCCCTTCCGCTGCCCCAACTGTGGGAAGGGCTTCAAGCACAACTCC